CCCAGTTCCCGATATTGCTTACTAATGATACAAGATAACCCTTCTGCCACTTGGGCTAGAAGATCTTGGAAACACTGCACTTTCAGGATCGAGGGAGTGGCTCCCTTTTGCAAGGTTGTGCATCAAATGTTTTACTTGTCTCAATTCAGTTCTAGCACTGCTCCAGTGACAGGTTTCATCGCAAAGCACTAGACACCTGCCCAGCGGTCATCCCTACATTCCGGCAGAGCCTCGCTACACAGGATCGAAAAGCTGCACATTCGGGTCCTTCCTCTTGGAAGCCCGAATACTGAGGGTACAGGCAGCAGGAGTTCACTGGATAAGAAGACATTTCTGTGCCCCATCTTGTCACTAATATTTCAGAAAGCGGAAGTAGTCACGACCAGCACTCACCAGTTCTGGGTGTATATGAGTCAACCTGGTGGCTCTCTGTATACTCTCTCCTAGAACCATACAGTCAAGCACTTACTGAGAGACAGGATGACTTTGAACTCAGGGACTGTCACCCAGTGAATACTTCTAATCATTAAATACTACAGCATAAACAGCTCAGGTCTGGTCTAAGAACGGAGTATGCCCCGTTTGTACCCATTTCCTCTCCTTGCCCTGTTGTTTTTCTTTAAAACTGGGCACCCATGTATTTGACATTCTTTTCCTCTTCCTCCCAGACAGCCTGTTCTCTTGAACTTCTCAGTATGAGAAATAAAATTGGCGACCTTTTCCCCTCCCCCTCCCCCGATGAAGCTAACCCTATGCTCTGGAACAGTGATTTCAGGGGTGTGATGTCACACCATGACCAGATGAAGCTCCGGGAAGCCCAACAGACATGACCCTCCTTCAGTTTTCTCCAGATGCAAAGGGTAGCTTCTGCCGCTGAGCAGGGAGGAGCAGTTCTAGAACCGTGTAAGAGATTGGAGAGCCACGGGTGGGGTGGTGAGTGGAGCTGTGTGGTTCTTCTGCCCCAGAAGAACAAGGAGGATGGCGGTGGAAGGGTTACTCCCGGTCTTCATTTTCTCATTGATTACTCTGTTTAAAAATATGTCATTTCTTTGGAAAACCGAGGAATGGGGAATAATTGCTTAGAATATTTTCAAGAATTGACACACGGTCATTCTGAACTCCCCGATGTACCGTAAACAAGTGTAAACTGTAGAAATCTGGAGAATGTATGACTGCAAACAGCTATTTACCAAGCTCCCAGACAACAACAAAGAGGAGACTAGAAGAGTTTGGACACTATTTATACATTGTTTTCCTTATTATTTAAGTTTTTTTTTCTGGTTACCGAAGCTGTCGGACTGGTATCCAGAGTTATAAACAATGGAGATTAAAGGGAGTTTACAACCTTTTAAAAATCTTCAACTAAATTTAACCAGTTTTGCACCTAGGAGTAACATCTGCCCACTGAAATTATTTGTAGCCATATGAACAAACAAGAATGATTAAGGTCAGGAAAGCAGGAAGAGAATAATTTCAAAATGGGAGAGGGAGGACGCTGCCATTTGCAAAAAAAAATATCTAGCAAATGTTAGATTCTTCAAAGGCAAGTGTGGCTGGCTTGCTGATTTCAGAACATGCCCTTTAAGACCGGGGTATGGTATGAAACAGGTGAACGTGGGGGAAAGAATGAAAAGCACCGTGTAGTTACAGACCTCTGAGAGCCGCCCTGTGAGGCATGACCAAAGGCGTGTGGGGCAGTCTCACCTGCACCTCACTGCTGTCTAGTCGCTGTTGGGTGTATGTGTGTGTCATACGGGTACCAGAGGTTGGCATATTTCCCAATTCTATCCCACCTTATTTTTTGAGATGGCAACATTTGCTTAACCTTAGGACAATTGATTTAGCTACACTGGGTGTCCTGCAAGACCCAGAGATCCTCCCATCTGTCTCCCACTGCTGGGATTACACGTACATATCATGGCGCCTCACTTCTTACATGGGTGCTTGTGGGACAAGCTCTTCATCCTCCGAGGCATCTCCCCTTGTTTTGTTTCGAATGCTTTTATTTTGGCGTTAACTTGTTGCCAAAGTGTGTTTATTATTACGGCAGAAAAGCTACTTACTCCTTAGTGAATAGACGTCTTTCCAATTTCCTCCCCCATGTGAACAAACTGAGTTCCTGAAGGTGTAGGGACCGAAACAGTACCTCCTGTGCCCAGGAAATCAGAGAGAAAGAGTGGGTGATTATAGCAGGTGGAGGTTGTGTGGGGAGGTGACCTGGAACCAGTAACCTCCAGGGAAGGATGCTGACTCCCTGGAGACATGGTCCCCCTCCTTAAATCTCTTTCTCTGCTTCCTCTCGGCGGCAGCCCACAAAACCTGTTTCTGACTTTAAAAAAGCGATGCAATTTCTTCGGGGGACCCACCATAAAAAAGATTCTCCCATCACAAGAGTTAAGAGACAATTTGGTCACACCATCTTCTAGAATCGGCTAAGGCCAAGTTAACATCTTTAGTGCTGATGCTGGTCTACAAACAAGACTCTAACCTAGTTACTCGCCCAAACGGCTTATGCTTTTAAGGATCTTTCCGTCTTTAGCTAACCTATAGGGCAGCATCCCTGTTCCTGGCCTGGTCACTTCTGACTGTGGTAGCCGTGTCCTCTTTCTCCCCCACTCTTCCTCTCTTCCTTTAATACCTTGACTGTGTGTGTATGTAAATGACTCTTCCCAGGACTTTCTGAAGGTTTTTTTGTTTTTGTTTTTTGCTTTTTTGCTTGTTTGTTTGTTCTGTCACAAATCAACTTGTCACTTAAAGCACTGTCAAGCAGATTAAAATAACTGGGGCATTTTCAGTTGAGGTACCTGTGAGAAAGTTCAGGCCACCTGTCCTCAGACTGCAGAAATTGTAGAGCTAATCGGGAAGGAATGGTGACCTCATTTCTGGTGTTCTGCTCTACTGGCAAAGCCACCAGTAGAAAAGGAGACCCCAAACTATGGTGGCAGAGAAAAGATTCTCACACTAGGCAATAAGCCTTCTGCTCTGGTTCAGGACTTTCATTCAAGCCCCTGGCTGCAAGGGAGGTGCCCATGTCCCCACTAAAAAGCAGCAGGTTGGTGGTCTAGGGCTATGTTTGTGGCGGGGAAAAACAAGAATGAAAAACTGGAGAAACTGGTACGTAGAGGCTTGCCGTGCTTTGCAGACTCTCTTCCCAGGCAGTTAGAGGATTTTTATCAATGCAGTGCTGGAAGAACCTTAGCTGACTCTCCTGCAGGGTGTTACAGGAGACTGAGTTCTGCAGTTCACAACTTGGATTTGAATCACATCTCTGCTCACAGGTTAGGTAATCTTGGTCATGTCAATCCTGTTTCTCCACTAAAAGAATGAAGATAATTGTTCTATGGATCTACAATGACATACTAGTGCTAAAACACTCAGGAGAGCCTGCACAGAAGTGTGGAGAATACTCTTTTTGTCTCCCCTTGCCAGGCTCCTTCCTGCCTGGGTTACATATCTCACTTCAGGACTTGAGGCAGCCCAGGAGAACATTCTTTTGGGTGTGTATCCCCAGCCCAAAGAGTGAGCAGTGTTCAAGTTAATTGCGGGAGAAGTGTCCATCTCTCTTTTCCTTTCCCTAAATGGTTAATAAACAATGGAAGTTTTGGCTTCTTGCCTGCTTGGGTAGATGGAAGAGCTCACATTCTGTGTTTGGGTGGACAGGCTTGGAATCAACAATGGAGCCCATTGGCCAGCTCTGACTGAGCAAAATTCTCTAACAGCTTCCTTCTTGGCAGTGTGCTTCCAATGCCTACTACTGTGGTGATTTGAAAGAAAATGGCCCTCAAAGGAAGTGGTGCTATTTGAGGTGTGGCTTTGTAGGAGCAGGTGTGGCCTTGTTGAAGGAAGTGTGTCACTGTTAGAGGTGGGTTTTGAGGTCTCCTATGCTCAAGCTTTGTTCAGTGTGACACTCAGTTCACTTCCTGTTGCCTGCAAGTCAAGATGTAGGACATGGCTACTTCTCCAGCACCTGCATACCACCATGTCTCACCATTATGATGACGGACTAAGCCTTTGGAAATGGAAGCCACCACCCCCAATAAAATGCTTTTCCTTTATAAGCGTTGCCATGGTCATGGTGTCTCTCCACAGCAACAGAAACCCTAAAAAGACACCTACTTAGTATTGGCTGGAGAAGTCACTACAGTGGCTCACATATGGTCCCCACCATCTCACAGTAGCCTTGGACTCGCCCTCAGTGGCTTAGGATTCAGAGATCATACATGGTCAGCGACGAGCCCTCCCACTTCATCAAGGTCTGTATGTAGAAGTGAGAATCACCAGCTCAGGGACTGAGTCCAAAAGGGTTACACGGCAGATTGGGAGGAAGGTTAGTTTTTAATTTTTAGCCCACAGATGGTATCCTATGGTTATCTGGACAAGCTAGGATGACAGTCAGTTAAGCAGGCTCCCGATGTTTGCCCACCTGATGGGATCCCTGTCACTTCAATACCGCCCCGCAACCTCATGACTAAACATTAAGATTACTCAAGTAATCTTCCCTCCCCCACTCAATTTTCCAGTGGGGTAAATTATGTATAAACCCGAGAAGAAGAAGAAGAAGAAGAAGAAGAAGAAGAAGAAGAAGAAGAAGAAGAAGAAGGGGAAGGGGAAGGGGAAGGGGAAGGGGAAGGGGAAGGGGAAGGGGAAGGGGAAGGGGAAGGGGAAGGGGAAGAAGAAGAAGAAGAAGAAGAAGAAGAAGAAGAAGAAGAAGAAGAAGAAGAAGAAGAAGAAGAAGAAAGAAAGAAAACAAACATGTAACAAAAGCATGTGTTTTCCTCTCAGGTTCAAGGGCTTGAGTGATCGTGGCGCTTAAGCTGCCTCTAGGCTGTAAACCGGTAATGGTGTACTAAACACTGCCAGGTGTCAGAGGTGCAGGATAAGTACACGGTGAAAGAGGTAAGGGACAGGATTGTGATGGCTACATCTCGCCTCCGCCTTCTAAGAAGCAAGGCGGGGAGGGACACTGGCTCTTGGAGGAGTGCCCAGGTGGACATACAAACCTTTTACTTATTCTGGTTTCTAATTCGGAGGCACCTCCTTTTGAGCGGCGGCTCCAGGTCCTCGGGGCCGGAGCTGAGCATGGGCGAGGAGATGACACACGGTGCCATGGCAGCCTTCTCCGTGGGTTTTGGCACAGGCTGGATCACGCAGCCGGTCTTGGGCAGCATTCGCAGAGCATAGGCGTGGTCCTCATCCGCGGGGTTATTGAGGTTTGGGTCCGACTTGTCGCCCCCCGCCAGGGTCTCCTCCCCCCTCAGCTTTTTGGTCGCCTCCCCATCCAGGTGGCAGTTGGAAGCGCAGTTATTCTCCTTGACCGACTCCAGCTCGTTCACCGCGGGCTCCTCGGGCGACAGCAGCTTTTTGGGTGGCACGGGGGGCGGTGGTTGCTCCGGCGGCGGATCTGCGCCCTTAGCCTCGGCCGGGACGCCGCGGGTGCCGTTCACGATGACGTTGCAGGCGGCGGCAGCCTCGGGACCCGCTGGGGCGCCCGGGCCCGGGTCGCCGGCGGCGGGCGGGCTGCAGTGGCCGTCCCTGCAGCCGCCGCAGGTCCTGCGCTCCGCCGCGCCCGGCTCGCGCTCCGCCTTGACGTGCGCATGCAGCGCGCGGTGGATCACGTTGTGCAGCCGGGAGCGGTGGCCTACTGTCAGGTCGATGACACCATCCTGCGGGCCGTGTAGCACGCCGGCGAAGCCAGGCTGGCCTCCCGCACCCGCGGGGCTGCTGGCACGCCGGGTTAGGTCCACCACCTCCCCACGGCCTCGCTCTGAGGGCGCCAGGCTCAGAGCTTGGCCGGAGCTTCCAGGCGGCGAGTCGGCCGACTTGGACGAGCCCTGCTTGGAGTCCCGCGGAGACAGGGAGCGTCCCCCTGACTTGCCTCCCGCTGCTGCCGAGTCACCCGGGGCACTCGGAACGAAGCTCTCCCCGTTGCTCGAGAATCCGTTTGGGGGCTTGGAATCGTTGACATGGGGAATGGGGATAGGGATAGGGATGGGCACCGGCAGGGGTACGATCACTGGGTACGGCACGAGTAGCGTAGGGGGCGGCACCAGCGGGGCAAGCGATGGCAGGCCGAAGTTCATCATCTGGGGCACCGGCATCGGGCCGTTTGGCATCATGCTTACCGGAGGGAAGGGAAGGCTGGGCAAAGGCGCGCCCGGGGGCGGCGGGGGCAGTAACCCCGGGGGGTTCCCAGGCATGGTAGGGGTGCTTGGTGGGTGGATGTGGGGTGATAGCATGGGCCTGTGCATGGGACTGGAAGTGGGGCCCAGGTTCCTGGGGCCACCGGACGGAGGCCCAATGCCCGGGAGTATGGGATTGGACAGGGGGCTGTTGGGGTTGGAGGCATGATGCGGCGGCCCACGAATGAAGGGCGGGCGGATCTGCTGTATGATCTGCTGCTCCATGAAGATGGGCAGCGGCACCGGGCCGCGGTTGGTCATCACCATGGGAGGGCTACGAGGCGGGACGCCCAGCGGAGGTCCGATGCTAGCAGGTGGCTGGACCGAGACAGGAGGGATATTTGGAGTCTCGCTGATGGGGAGGGACTTGGGCACTGGGGTGGGGATTTTAGTGACAGAGCAGTTGGCAGTGTCAGATGGAGAGACGGTGGTGGACGAGGATGGGCCAGGGCCCTGGCTTTGGCCAGCTGCAGTCACCGGGGAGGGAGCCTTCCTCCGAGCATCTGTTAGCGGGATATTCCAAGAGTCTGGAGTGAGCAGCTGCACCCCGGTGCCTTCTGCTTTACTTTCCATGTGAGGATGTAACGTGCTGCACAGCCCAGCTGGAAGATTGGCCTGTGTCTCTTTGTAGAAAATGTCCATTTTGTATTGATTGAGACATTTTGCACTGCAGAACTGAAGCCTTCTTTCCCCGTCCCCAAAATCCAGGTATTCTTTTGTATGCCTTATGTGTTTACACCAGTCACACACCTACAACACAGCAATAAAAACCACAACAGGTAAGATAAGATTTCTCTGCAGATGGCGTTCATGTTTCACATAAAGGCTCTTTCAAACTTTATCATAATTTGTCAAATAGTTGGAGGGGTTCCTTTCAGAAGGTAAGTTTCTGAAATGTTTGCGAATGATGAATTTGCTTTATAAATAGGATCTTCAAAATAGCAACAGCCACAGTCTCTCCTTTTTTCTTTCAAAAAAATGGTATTAACAGTGTGAAAATGACTTGAAGATGGTTCTAACAAAACAGAGTGGACCTGCTCAGTACACTTATCCAGTACACCTGCCCGGTACACCTGCCCCAATACACCTGCCCAGTACACCTGCCCATATACTTACCCAGTCCACCTGCCCCAGTCCACCTGCCCAGTACGCTTACCCAGTACACCTGCTCAGTATACTTCCCCAGTACACCTGCCCAGTACACTTCCCTAGTACACCTGTCCAATACACCTGCCCAGTACACTTATCCAGTACACTTACTCAACACTTGCCTTCATAGTTTTACTTACTTATCAGGTTCACTGGAAACAGACATCTAAAAAATGTTGGAAGAAAGTAATCTCTAGAGAGCTCAACGGTGATGCAACATAACCTCTTACTATTCCCCTTATTTATGTAAAGTCTCTCTGTGCTATAGACCACATCCAGTTCCATGTTGGAAAGGGTGTGCTGAGCTAACCAATAGCATAGAGTGCTGGATAACCTCATGTCTGGATTCCAAGGAGCAACTTGGACTTCACCATGAAGTCTGTGTGAGGTTTAGCTCTCCCAACCTGTGATGTTGCAGCAAGCTAGAATTATTTTTTGAGCTGTTTGCCCACTCTTTCTCAGCAGTCAGAATTTTTGGTGACATTCCTTGGCAGGCAGCCTTATTTAACAACTTTTCAAACACCAGAGAACATTTTCCAAAAGTTGTTATGGCTTCCACCCCACCCCCCTTCTACTCCTGGCAAAAGAAGGATATCACCAAATTTATTTCAGAGCTGGGCTGCGGAGCTAATTAAAGACTCAGAGCCTTCCCAATTGGAAATCAGTAGACACCAAAGTTCAAAAAATAGTCATCTCGGCTGCAGAACCCATTACTTTGGAGAAATTATTGTGATTTCATTAACACATTAATTTTGCAACACCATCAGCTCTCACAGACGGTGGAGACATGATCTGCAATTCAAATATGACTCTTGTTTGCACAAATGTCTTCCCTTCATATGGCATTTTAAACAAGAATTAACATGAGTGATCTTGCCATCGCTATAAACAGATAAACAGATGTCAAAACTTTCAATAGTTCCTCCAGTGCCTCACTTTTCTTGACAGAATTTTATACACACAATATTTTTCTCTTTCTTCTTCTTTCTTTCTTTATCATTTCCATAGCATTCAAGCCATACAGCAGCAGAGAAGGAATTGCAAAATTCAGCACCATTGCGAGTTTATGGGACTCTTTCTTCCTGCAATGGAGCAGTGGTTCCAGTATTGTTCGAAATGGGACCTCAGGTTTGAAGGGTGTTTGTTCTATTGCTGTGTGCATGCATGCGTGGATGTGTTTTTAATGATTACAAACTGATAATAATTAAAAGATGATAAATTTTAATAATGATTGGTCACATAAACAATGCACAAACAACATATGCTGGGCATTTGGTTACTCATCTCACTTAACTCTCAGCTTCCCTTGCTTGTAAACTGTGCTGACATGCTAGCATGTGATTGGGGACAGATGTGGTAGGGCTGCATGTGCAAAGCCACTCTCCCTTTTCCATGTTTTGGGTTTTTTCCCACTGGTGCTTTTGGTTGATAAACCTGACCTGTGAGACTGAGTCAGATGTATGCTTTGGCACGCATCAGGTTTTGTTTGTTCTTCCCAAAAATCTGAGACTAGAACACCCGTGAGTGGGCTTCGGTGGTAAGGGAATTACTTCAATGTAGCTATCAAAATTGTTGCCTCCATTAAAGTGGTTGAACCATAGTGATGGCAGTGCTCATATGTCCACCCCTTCACTAGCAGTGTTTCAGAGCCCTTCTGGACTCTAGGGAACAGTTTTGTTATCAGTGAGATGCCCATCTTGCAGGTACATGCAAAGTTGCCTCTGATGAAAAGAGCCTCAAAGACTATATCAGACCTTCACATTTCTTATCTAGATTAAGGTTAAGTAAACTGTTAGTGAAAACATGGTGTATATATTTAAATAAAGTTACAGCCTGGTATAATGGCGTACACCTTTAATCCCAACCTTTGGGTGGCAGAGGCAGGAGAATTTCTGCGAGTTCAAGCCCAGCCTGGTCTACATAGTGAGTTCCAGGACAGCTAGAGGTACAAAGTGAGATCCTGTTTCAAAAGAAAGAAAGAAAGAAAGAAAGAGAAAAAGAGAGAAAGAAGGAAGGAAGGAAGGAAGGAAGAAAGAAGGAAGAAAGTTACCATATAATCATGTGGCATTTAAATTTTGTTGTGAAATGAAACTACCGCAGAGAAAGCCTAAAATATAAATGTATAAGTTTGAAGTGAGGGACCAAATAATTTCTTTCTTCATGAACTGAAACTCATCCTCGATGAATTAAACTAATTAAAATAACACGTGACTCTCCTGGCACGTGTCCTTTGGATCTTACTCTTTAACAAAAATCAGGAAGAATTTTATGAAATCATTAATTGGTTTTTAAACTGCCAGATTGATTTTTTTTTTGCCTCCAGAGGATCCGTGTTTCCTCAAACTAGATAAATATTTTTCAAGTGGGGTGAAAAAAACATAATAATCTAAGTATAATGTAACAGTTCTCCCTTCCCACTCTCCACTTTTCCTAGTCACTGGTGAATGATGCTCACAGACCGTCCTAATTATCCAATGAGAATTCGCCATCACATTTCACCCTTTCCAACAGAAAAATAATCACAGACATCAGAAACAAAAATCCACTCTTTTCAAACCTTTCCATCAAAGCAAAGCAAGGGCCTTGTGTTCTTTCTTTCTTTCTTTCTTTCTTTCTTTCTTTCTTTCTTTCTTGGAGGTGGTTTTGGTTTTTGGGTTTCTCTGTGTAGCCCTGGCTGTCCTGGAACTCATTCACTAGACCAGACTGGCCTTGAACTAACAGAGACCCACGTGCCTCTGCTCCAGAGTGGTGGAATTAAAGACATGCATCCCCCTGCTACCACCCAAAAGGCCTAATGCTAATGCTTGTTCTCCTGCCTCTTCTGAAAGAGCCTCCGCTGCAGTGTGCCCCAACTGTGTCGTTTTGGGGTGTTGTGAGCTTGACTCTAATAAGGCCTTCCCTTTCAGTTCAGAACACAGACCTAAAAATATGGGAAAGCAATCTTTCTGATGAAGCAGAAGATGATTAGAAGGGGGAGAGTGTCACTTAAGAAGGAATGAATCAAGTCTGTCGTACAGGACACATCATTTAAGATGAGGTCAATGGATTTATGGTGCAAATGGCTCCATCACGTGCGGCAGTAAAACCCAGCACCATAATTCACTCCACATCCAGCCAGCGACACTTCCGTAATTAAAGGTTTCATCATAGGAGCCTAAGACGATTATTTACGCTATGGTAGTTATGTAAAAAAAATATATATATATATATATATATATAGTATTTCTTTTTAATAAAATAACATTTGCATATGCAAAGCACACAGCAAATATCTCATAAGCTATGGTTTTGTACTTTGGCATTGGGGATAGTCTCTTCTTCTTTGTGGATAGATTTAAATTCTGCCACATTGTTATTTTAATTTTTGATACTTTTTCAGCCTCCCCTTACCCAATATCAAGAGGAACCAAAATTCCTTGAGACAAGTTAAGACAAGCCCGATGCCCAGAGCTCTGTGCTGACTTGCATGATTCCATCCCCCTTTGCTTCTGCTGGAATCTCTGGGTCCACTTGTCTCCCTAAGAGGCCCCAGACTGAACCTAGCTGCTGTTGTCTTACTACACCAATATGGGGACTAAACACTCAATCAGCAAACACAAACCACTGAGCAGGACTGCTGGAATGCTTCGGATCACAGATCCATTCCAGGTCACCGGGAAGACAGAAAGATCACAAAGGAGATACGCACACATGTGTTCCCTTCAAGCCTAGCACACAGTCCTCCAGATCAAGTTCCCTTTCCTGATATGGGTCCAATTCTACACAAGAGAAGGAACATTTATTTCCTTTAGTCCGCTTTGCTGGCGGGCTGCCAGGGCAGTACTTACAAGCCCAGTGGTCGGATGGCTTCCCTCCTTTCCTGTGAAATAAATGTGCGGTAACCTACACCACCCCACTACTCAGAAGACACTGCCTCGGCAGGCTTTCCCTTGCTCTTGACACCAGCGCCCTGAAAGGCATAGATTCGGGTTCCTATGACTTCTTCAAAGCTATGAAAAGAAAGAAAGCCATTCATGCTGGCAACTGAACTTTCTTTTTCACATACATGCCCAAGGCCAGAACCACAGTATATACACCATTAGTCTACCCATATGGTACAATGTATACATTCTTCTGTATATAAACCATTAGGCTACCGGCATGGTACAACATATGTATTTTTCTGTATATAAATGCCATTAGGTTACCCATATGATACAATGTATACATTCTTCTGTATAGAAGCCTTAGGTTACCGCATGGTACAATGTATGTATATATATATATATATCCTTCTGGGCTTAAGAGAAGGCTTAGGTGTCTGGGGGTGAGGCATGAATTCTAATTAACACATTAATCAACTGTCAGCTGTGGGAGTAAAGTTCATCCTTTAATGGAACCCACCGCTGCTTTCTGAGTAGGAATCTGGCATCAGGCAATATTTAATTAAATTCTTTTGCTGAAATCTGTCTTCTCTGCGTAAAGACGGTTTGCACCAATGGAACAGTAAAAACATATTAGCTTCTCCTGAATGCCATCAACAACTCGAAAAGTACACCCCCCCCCCCCGGCACACACACACATAAAACCTTTCCTATGCTTCTGACTTCTCACCGATGTCA